AGGGAAACGTCTCTTTAACGTTCAATGAATGTTCTTCAAAAGCGGCACGTTTTGGTGGTGAAACGGCATCTTAACCGAATGCCTAAAAGTTGCTCACTTGAGTGCATTGGACGTCCAACCAACCTCTTTGAACACAGGTTGAACGTTCTCGAAAACGTTTATGTCTTAATTGGGCACTGTCTTACGTATAAAGCCTATAGGTCTCGTTTGACCTGTGATTACCCTTGGCACCCGCTCGTGCGAATGCATGGTGCCAACAGAGGTGAATAAAAAGAATCGAGTAAAATCCTAGAACCGAAACGGCGATGCAACACTGAGCGTGCCGATCTCACTTTCGTCAAAGCTCTTTTCACTTGTCGTTCGACGTGGCACCCCACCACGCCAATGAAGCACGGTGCCCATAAAGCAAAAAAAAAAAAACATTCTACTAGTTGTCGCCCAAAAGCCGCATGTCACGTGGATACCTACCTTCCAGCGAGAGTGCCTTCCACTGCACACTGCACACGCATCTGTGTCCGCACGCAGATGCAAGATCGCAAGCACGGGGGACACGAACCACCTAAACGTGTGGGAGTCCCCTGTCTCAGAAGCATCAACGGCTGGCATCGTGCATCAGGTCCCGCGAATGGAGGACGGTGCAACACACGGCACAGTCGTGATCCGCGAATCACATTTTTCACTGCAAGCTCCCGTCTTCCATCTGCACTGGTGGACAAAATTATGGTGACTATCACAAAAACCAGAATGGCGTTTTATTCTGTGAGGTATTTAAATTAAAATTTGTACTGTGATACAATTTATCATTACCGATGAGTGTATTTTTAAAAAAAGGAGAAACTTTTGACCGGTAATAACAGAATTATGATAATTACATCATGAAACGAAAAATGACATGTTCCAACAGACATGCTTAGAAGAAGCCAATAACCGCCACCTTTTTATAGGCTTCACTAATTTGCATGTTGCAACGCACGTAGATCAATTTCGATTGGATATTAGGGATTTGCATGTAAAATGACGTATAGTAACGTATTTTCACCCTCGAATTTACCATTGTAATTAAAATATTGAAAAACGGTGCTACCTTAATTTTTTCAAAAGTTGCTTCCTAATGAAACTTCTTGGCGAAGTTGTACGTCGCCTGAAATGTCTTGCAACGGCAAGAATGGAGGAATCATTCTACTGGTATTCTTCAACCATAAATCTTTTTTTCTTCAAGTATTTGCACCATTTCAACGAATCGGAAAAGAAAAAGGCAGTGGTAATTTAAAAAAAAAATTGAGTTAGGCTTTGTCTCAGATGTATCGGAAGAAAAATATGCATTTTTATACGGATTTGAAATGGTCTAAGTCTTTGTGCACTGCACCACCCTGCACATTTCCTTTTTTGCCGATGCGATTACGATACGGGGAAACAATAGAACCTTCGAAGAACTCTCGCCCTCTTCGACTTCCATGCGTCGTCCGCGAGCGTCTTCGAAGGACCGAAAGCGACGCAAGCAGCAACGAATGAGCACGTCATCCTGCAATTGTGAAATTCTGTATCTTCAGAGATGGACTTCCTCGTGGAGCCCGTATGAACGCAAGGGGCGACGAATCGACGCACCGCTCCGCATTTCATCACCGTCGCTCGAAAATCCCTCGATCCGCGGCGGCAGGCGGGAGACAACTGGGGACGAGTGATGCCACCGTCCTCTAGTGAGTCACCGCGCCGACTCTCGTCTCCTCGTCCATCCTGAGGATGTCGAGACGAAGTCGAATCTCCGACTTTTCGCGAGAGTTGCTTCCCCACCTTTCGCGAGGCCGAGGCCGAATTTCACAACTCAGAGGCACATCCTCAGATGATAGGAAGATTCTTGTTGAAACCCCCAGTTCAAATCTCGAAGCGTTTAGCCTCTGGTTTCAAAAATTATACTTAACCCTTTAGTTTTGCAAACTTGGTGGTGAAAACTAATTCCAAAATCTTTCGACGTGTAAAACGAACGTTTTTCATACATTTCATAAGTTGAGTATTTCTTATTGAGGAAAATAAAATGAAATATTAAATTTTTAGCGAGATATCGACGATACGATCAGTTAAATTACTTATAGGGGTGACGGTACGATGGAAAAAGGGGGAGGAGAGGGAACGCGCCCTTGAGCATGGGAAATAGTGCGACTGGAGTTCCTTTTCTTAAAGGAAACAAGGTGCATAGGTTTTCCTGTTCTTGTTTGCTGGTCCAGAAAAAATGTCTTCTCGTTTGGGATGGAGCCGACACTTTCCCGGTCCTACCTGGAGAATGTACTGGGAAGGGGAAGTTGGGCATGGAGATCCATGCAAGCAAAGAGGTCGGGTATTTACGTAGATGGAAAACCAATTTCTTTCGTTTTGCTGGATTGAGCTTATTTTTTAAATGCAAAGTGACAAGCTGCTTAACCGAAAATATTTCATCACTGGATGTGAGCTCTTCTGGGCACAGTGATGCCTTTAAGTTCTGAATCGACGGATAAACGAACGGAAATGCGCCTGTCCTATGTTCTCAGTTGGCTCGAGTTTAAGGGAGAAACTTCATCGAAATGCAAGTAAGCTGTGATGCTCGTTTTAAACTTCGAGGCTGCTTAAACTGCATGGACTCGATGAATGCTTCATCGATGGAATGCAACTCCTTCCCTTCGACCCCAAAAATCTGATCTCGGTCCCGTTCGTTCCACAAAACTGTGCTTTCCTGGATTCCCGGTCCACGAAGACACGATTGCGACTGTGAAGTGGACCGTGGCGGGGAAAAGCGGACGATGGCGACACCAGCAACAGCAACGCTCAAGCGAGAGCAAGACGAGCCGTAAAGAGAAACGAAACCTCGTGGACGGAGACGCCTGGGTCCTCCGTGTCACGACTGACAAGTGAGAAGAAACGTGAGATCTCGCCATGCGGACTTCACCTCCGACCTCCTTTCGCCTCGGCCGAGTCCACGGGAGGTCGGAGAAGGTCGGGGGGAAGGTCGGAGCGCGTCGCTTCTGTTGAGATGAAGAAAGGTCGGTCGGAATCTGCAAGTCGTCGGGTCCTCCAGCTTCGACGGCGACTCGACCCAAACGGGATGATGACCCCTTCTCACGGTCGCTTTCGTCGACAGGGAGAGATGAGATGACGTCATAGGCCATGGCAGATCTTCGTCTGCATCGCTTCTACTTCAGAGTTAGAATATGCACGTCGTGAAATTTCGTGAAATTCGGGAGATTTCGATACACTCGGCCTTCGTACAATACTGCTGTAACCTGAAATATTTTCGAGAGGGAAACAATTGCGATATCGGCGGATGCCACGCATTTGAGACAATGAATTTACGTGATTTTTTTTACAAGTCGATCTCGTAACTGGTTCCTAGTGTCAAAAGAAGTCAGCCGAAATTGGACGAAATGGGTCAAATATGACAGAATGATGTCACCTTGAAACGGAAAAAGATTTCCTGATGTATTTGCACAGCGTAGATTAATTTTCTTCTAATTTTCTGGAGTCAGTAAAAGAATTCGCACTTGATAACTTTTATTCCAGTTCATCACGAAAAACTTTCCTGGTTTGCTCCGACAAAAATCATTTGTTGCCGGTCCAGAGTCGTAAGAGATGAAAATCGCACAATCCTATAGGCCTATGAGGTTATTTTTAAAGGGATAATCGCGGCGGGAGTTATCGGTGCAAGTCGGACGCATTTTTTCTCCGCAGCGAAAAGGGAAGATGGCGGAGCGGAGAGATGCTCTCGTAGGTCATGCGCCACACGCGCCGTCAGCCATTGCGTTTCGTCCTGCGATCATTCTAGAAACTCCGAGAACTTGGACGCCGCTCTTTCGCATTTCGTCAGCCTTTGCATTCTTTCGGGGAAACCCGAGGTCTTTGGGTCCGACACATGAATAGGCGGACGAGACAGACGTGAAGTCCCAGAGAACGTGGCGTACGAGTAGGATATTCTAACGTTAATGATACTAAACCTCAGTTAAGTCTAGCACGATATCGACCTAACTCTGACAATAGTTAGCTAATCGTAGTTCTTAATGGTCTCGAGGACCTAGGTCGAGTGCCCTTCTTAGATAAACCTGGCTAACTTTTCGTAGGTCTATGATAGTGCGTATTTACGCGATAAGCTAGGCCTATCGTCATGCTGCTAGGCCTGATCATGATGACCACATTCTATGATAACGTATTAGGCTTAACGTTTTCTGATCAATCGTCTGTTTTCTTTTGTGTTGCCTTCCCCCAAACACGAAGTTCTGTTTTAATGTAGAATGAGTAGGCAACATGCTTTTTTTCCATTAACATTCAAGGATGTTACTTTTTTATGCCTTCAGATCTAATGATTTAAAGATGCGAAAAAAATCCCTATGGTATTTGTTGAGATCTTCCCAAGTGGGAGTATTTAAATCAGACCTGGTTGGGATAAAATTGTCTAGAAATATAGAATGGAAATGGTTAGTCAGAAAGATGAGAGCTTTAAAAGTTTGGATCCTTTAAGACTTTCATCAAGGAAGATGAGACAAAGAGCTCATCCTTCTCAGTGATTTAGATGTTTGTGAGAAGGGACATTCATTTCACTATTTCCAACTTCATTGACCCAATTGAAATGGAATATGTTTTAACCAGTCTGATTCTTTCATTTCAAGTCTTTGTGGCAGCCAGGACAATTTTCCTGGTGCTGAGGATATATGGTGGTTGAAAATATATAGCTGAATCCATTTATTGGTGATTAATGCATATTCTGTACATTCATAGTATTATAGTTCTACTGATTTTGTTTTTCTCTTATTTCATCCTTGATCATTCAGTACTCAAGCTTGCTTTTCCTAATGTGTGTCCAGCATGAAAGTGAAATAATATGACAGACATTCACCTATTTTTTTAACCACCGTGTATAAAGTAGGTAATTGAGTTGCCAGAATTTTAGCTTATCATTATGAAATTAGGTAATTTCTCAAATGATGATTAGAAAAGCAGATGGCATCCATCAGGTTTCTATCAAATTACATCAATTGATTATCTCTCATAGGCCTTGGTCCTGTTTTAAAGGGGACATTGTCTCAGAGTGTTGAAAAATTAGATTCTAATCCAATCAAGTGAATAAAGATGCCTCGACGAGCCAGGTCATCGCCAGCTCCCCCACGAGCCGCTCCGAGACGTGCATCTCCACCACCAGCTGCACGGGCAGCCCCACCCCCTCCACCCCCATCCTATGCTGCATCTCATCAGTATGCCTCTCTGCTCCATCTTCTGATGCCTTTTCCCCTCACTGCATTGCTTATACTCAGTTTGCTCTCTCTCGCAGTGCACCCGCTCACCCTCCGCCCTCGGCTCCAATGCCCGCAATGGCTCAACCTAGGCAGCCAGGACTCATGGCCCAGATGGCTACAACTGCAGGAGGTGTTGCCATTGGATCTGTTGTGGTCAGTCCCTTGCTCTCATGGGCCTCTGGGTCTACAAGAATGAGGCTGAATGTTCACTAAAAATTCAAGATATCTTTTTAGGCTTATATAAGAATTCTTGAAAATATGCAACAAAAAAAATACTTTGGTCTGACAGGGTCATGCACTGACAGGTGCATTAAGTGGAGGTAGGTCAGATGCTCCTGCTCAACAAGCACCAGTGTCAGACCTTCCATCTCCCACTTATGGAGGGAGCACTGGAACTGGGACTGGACCCTGCGCCTATGAATTGCGCCAATTCCTGGAATGTGCTCAGACCCAACATGACTTGTCACTCTGTGAGGGATTCAACGAGGCTCTGCGGCAGTGCAAAATCGGCAACAGTGAGTGATGTGTCATTGTCTGCAGCCAGAATTTCAGGTCATATATTCACTATATATATACCTGTAATCATTACCATTCTTTCTTTCATCAGATATGCAAGTTTGAGGTGCTCCACATCATAGCTCATTCCCACAGTAGATGTGAACATTCTTTTATTCTGTAAGTTTACCTCCTTTCTTTTTGTTACTCATGTTTCTTCTATTTTCTCTTTTGTATCCTTTCCTTTGGTGTCACTTATCATGACATTGCAAAGGCAAATGGTTGACACTTCCCTTCATAGTCATTCATGTATTTCCATTGAACACTTGAAATAAAGCAGTTTGTGGTAGTTATGAAATATGAAAATATTTGTGTTGATAGTGAAAGTGAAAATAAACATGCACAAAAGAGTAGGAAACAAGATTGATTAGGAAATGGAGCAAGAGGATAGTGGTATGGGAGGGGGTGTGGCTCCAGTGTGTTTAGCATCCTGCAATCTCTGCTCCTCTTCATCCTCCTCCAAACCTATGAAAATGAATAAGAAAATAAGTTTCCCTTCCAAAGATCCTTTGGCATTGCATACATTAACTTACACCCTTGAGAATGAAGCGTGAAGCCATCACCATAACCTTCAACAACTGGCACAACATCAGGTGGCTCATGGCACATGGGACAGACTTGATTGCGAACCACAGATGCTCGAAACCATATCACCAGGTTATGCCTGAAGGACACAGAGGTAATGATATGCTAAAATCATATCCAGTTCATGATCACATCCATGATTAAACAATTTATAAAGCGTTCTACTGCACTGCCTGAGAAAGAGCAGGTGGAATCCCATAAATCAACCAGGTGAACTGTCATCACTTAGTTTTCTTTTTTTTCTGTAGCCAGCACCAAATTTAATGGTTGACTACCATCAATGTTTGCTATCTAGTGAGAGCCTAAGGAACCATTTACAATCTCCAGAAAGCCATTATAGCTAGAGTGGAGATAACATTCTGGACTGTAAATACAGGGTAGAAATTTGGCCCAATTATAAACACGGAGGAGAAAATGGGGAAAAACCATTTCACGTGCTTAAGGTGAAAATGCACAAGTGAATCCTGAATGAAACTCAGATTAATCTTATAGGTGTTGCAGCTAGCACTAAGTTTTAGGAAGATCCAGTATTCCCATTAAAAAGAGTAATAAAAAAAATAGTCACATTCTCTCTTCATAGAATGAATATGAATTCCATACAGGACAGAGGCTCTGGACAGGATAATTTTGCATACATAAATAAGATGCACAGTATTTGTGGAAGAGTATGAGCTTATATTTTTATAAGATTATATTTTATCTAAGCTTTGTATAACCTTAGATGAAATTAAAAGAAAAAGGATGAAAATCAGTGTTGAACTCTATGCATAGACTCATTTGTCAACAATCATCTATACATCAAGGGGAACAAATGCTTTTCTTATTGGTGGCCACATTTTACTTGTATCATTCCCAGTGGCCAGTGCCAATTGTGACATGCAGATGAAAGAGTGATATGACAATATAGATATTCAAGTAAGCATATTAGGGAAGTCATGTTCTTTTTTTGGTCAATGTCTACTTAATGCATCATGGGTAGTGGCGGAGGGGTGCTGGCAGATTTAGTCATTCACATTTTGCTAGCAAAGAAGTTTGACCTGCATTTTTACTTGCCCCAATTGCAGCACAGACTTTTTTTCTTCCATCATTGCTCTTCCATGATCAGTATTGGGAATGTGACCCTTATGATGAGTAATAAACCTGTTGATTATGACACTGATACTTCAAATGATTAATAACAACCCTACTTTTTTGTCATTGCTGTTGAGAATTATTCAGAGCCACAACCATGTGGTTTATTTGTTCAGCACATTTTCCTTTGGGCATCAGACATGTGCAAACCAGCATATGCATCATACAAATGGTTGTCAATGCATTTATACAGCCCTACCTATTACAAGCCTTTAAGTGCTGAAGAGCATAGGCAGAGCATAAATACATCCTGCATCTCTTGTATCTTGATAGAATTTGGATTAACACTAGTGACAGCATGGCAATCCTTGCACAAATGTTGCCATTTGGTTTATCCCAGCAGGCATAAAAAGCAGCACCTTCATAAGCAAATATCCAGGTACTCATGTGAATTCAGTTGGAGGGGGGCTACACTGCATATCCTGTTCATGGATGCAAGATTTGAAAAATAACATGCTCTCCCCATAAGCAGAGGAGAAATGAGTGATATACAAGGATGTCCTAAAAGTCGCTTTACCGAGATGAAGTGTTTAACTGTGATTATTTTCACTTGTATTCAATTTTTATTTGCAGAAGTGAATGTGCATTGAACATGGACAACAATTTGAACAATTTCTGTAGTTCCTCAGTCACTTTCTGCTGGTGGTTGGTTGTAAATAGAGTAGTTTTTCCCTGGAACATGAGTATAATCTCTGTAAAGCGACTTTTAGGACACCCTGTATATGTGAGTTGAATACTTTAAAAAATTGCAGACTGAGTGTAATGTAGCTATACCATCCCCAGTTCCCAAACATTTTCCAGTGACATGAGGAGAGTGCCGGCATGCACTTAAAGAAGACAATCAAAACAGTAAGAAAATAATTTTGCAGATAAAATTGGAACTAAAGAAACCTTACACATCTGTGGTATGCACAATCAACAGCACAGACCACGAGGTGCAAGGAGATGACTACAGATGGCAAGAGTTTACCTGTCTACACGAAATATGACAATTCTCATGTCCTGTCAACACCCAGCTGGCAAAGCACAAAGATTCTCGTGATCTGTGTGCGATGTGTTAAGCAAGCCTGTACACCCCAGACACAGCCTGATTTGGTCAAACCACTTGCTTTACCATTCATCTGCTCATCAAATAGGAAGATACCAGATAACTTTGACAGTTTGAAAGAAAATGGTGTGGTTGGCCAAACTTTTCATTCACCATTACTTTTACCTCTATGTAGAAAAACAATAGGCTGCACCCTCTCAACAGGCCCACAATGGTCTCATCTGGTAGTATATCATTGTGTTCCACAAAAGTGTGATTCATAGAATGAATGTTTCACAGTGTATTTTCTACCCATGTTGATGAGCTGTCACAAAGCTACTCAAAGCATGCTTTCAAAACTAGTGGCCAGAATTTAAGCTTCAGTTTTTCACTTATCAACTACCTTCAGCATCTTGACACAAAAGAGGGCTGGAGCTCATGACTAAATAAATTGAGACCCAGGAGTGAAAAAGAGATTTTCCAATTCTAGGATTTCTATTGGAACTTCAAGAATAAGTGATGAAGATAACTGGCAAACTGGAAGTCTAAATTGTTGACAGCAGACCACCATGCAAATTGTCAGATAGGAAAATGTTGGCAAGCTCTAGCAAAGAATCTGACTGCAAGATCATGTTTTAATCTTAGTACATGCACAAATCTATGTAATCTAATATTTACTTTATATGCATCATAGACCATTACCCATTAAATTATTATTGTTATTCCCATAAAAACTATTGTAAAAAGGCATTCAATATGAATTTGATTGCATGCAAACCCCAATTGGTCCATTCTACCCTCAGTCACCTTCCATTCCACCAAAAGAGAGGTGGTGAATCCATAGACATACCTTTCTCCACTCTCAATAGGGAGGGCACCATGTAGATGAGAGCCAAGATGAAGAACACCATGGCCCAATTTGTGCTCATAGCCAAAAACATTCTTGAAATCCGATTTAGGGGAAGAAACATCAGACTTAGTGGCTCCAAAGTATAGGTGTCCCCCTTCAAACTCCTCATTCAGGCATATATTTAGGGTAACCTGGACACAGAAAGGAACACATGCCATCAGTGAATGAATAACCTTGTGCAACGAGTATTGGATGTGGGGCTAACCTCTGCATTGTCATAGTGGTATGCCAAATCCACATCTCCCTTGGCAGCATCATACGAAACAATGAATCCCCGTTGGGAATCTAAAGATCCTCCCCCTGAGGTGGGAAACAATAAACGAGACACTGGATTGATGTATCTCTCTCGCAATGGGTCCAGGAATCCCACATCCCAGCCTAAGTCTCCTAGAAGGACCTGCAACAAGTAAGACCCAACTTACATTTACAACAAGAAGTCCATCCTTAAGTACCAGATGGATATCAGCATAGTTGAGGACTAACCCCATAATTATTCATGGAATTGGGCCTCTCAACTGGGAGACCAGATGACTTGAAATGGTTCATCTCCTCTAAGAACTGAGTGCAAAATGATTTCTGAAACACAGAGATGGAGTAGACATCTTGGCCAACAAGGGAGGTTCTAGGAATTTCCTTCAGCACCTCCTTTCTTTCACCCTTGTGTGTGTGACAGAGATCCACCAGCCTCCTAAACTCTTCTGTCAAGAAATCTTCCTGTGGAATGGAGTATCAAATACATTCTATTCCAATTCTTGACTTGTCCTTCACATCATGTGTATTGTGGTAGAATTGAAGTAAGTCAAGAGCATCTCTGAACAAGGGAAGAGTCCCAAAAAAAGCGATTAACACATCTACAAGGTGTAAAAAAAAAAAACCTGCTACAGTCCCTCTGCCACAAGAATGAAGAGACTTGGATGGGAAAAAAACAAGACCAAATGGCATTTATTCTAATTACTGTAACAGGATCTGTACAGCACTCCAATTACACTTGGTCACAGATTCTTAGTGTTAACCTATCAGCAAATCTGGAGAGTTAGTTGGCTATACATTGCTGCCAAAGAAATCCCAAATGCCATGGAAGCTTCCATTGTTTCACCACTCAACAGCTTTTATTGAGGAATAGAGCCAGGATGGTGCTTATTCTGCAAAGCTACTATTCTTGATCATTTAACCCTTTCGCTGTTAGCCTGAGTACATACTCGGGCTGCGCACAACACTTTCACGGTGGTAGCCCGAGTACATACTCGGGCTCTGAAACCCAGTCCTTTTAGGTTGTTTCTTCTCTATTTATGGATGTAACTGACATATATTTGGTATTTAAAAAAAAATACATCCTTTTCTATATAACAGGGCTACTTTTTGTCGACGTATATGACTTTCGGAAGCATTGAATAACAAAAAAATCAAGTGCGTATCTTTATCGACCCATTCTGTAAAAATGGCTTCCTATGCACTTAGTTTTGCGTTAGATGATGATGAAATAAATTAATTTTAAATGCTAATTGTGACATTTACTATGTTAGTAGTGAAAATGAAGGTGATGTAGAAATGGAAGTTGAAGCTGAAACTTAAGAATATGAAGATTACGATGGGAGCAGAGATGCAAGCAGGAATAGAGGTAGAACAAAGGGGCAAAACACTGTTGATGTACCTGAGTTCAGCAAGAAACCCCATGCAATTAATTGCTTGACTTACAGAAAATCCTGCGTTGAAATTTAATATTCCAATCTCCCTGAGATAGACAATTCTGAACTAATTTTCACAGATGACCTGGGTCAATTTATGTTCCTCGCAATATGTGCTCACGGAAACCTACTTGAACATGAAATAACAGAGACATACAGGTATACATTTGCATCAGACCTTATTTTTAACACAGCACTAAGTGAATATTCAAGGGTAAAACAAAGGAGAAACCTCTCTGTATGGGAATTTTGTACATTTATTTTGGTACTGTTTTTAATGGGCATTACAATATGGCCTTTATTCAGTCTCTCTGGAAACTGATGAACTTTTTTATCATCCCTGCTTTTGGTAAAATCAAGTCTGTCAATGGATTAATTCTCAAAATCTCAAAATTCATGCACTTTTCTGATAGCACTCTGGCTGTTCCTGAAAATAAATTTTAAAATACATTTTGGTCTATCATCAATAGTTTTCATGATAGGGCAATTTAAACTAAACCATTGTTTGCAGAGACACAGCGCAATCCTTATAACACAATGGAGGTCGTGAGGGCTTTTTTTTAAACAGTGAAAGGGTTAATCTGCTTCTTGAAAGAAATAGAACAATTTTCAACCCGAGATATGAGACACTTCTGCATGGCATAACACCTCAGTTTGAGCAATGGTTGCTAGAATCTGTTGCATCTAGGTAAAGTGGATTTCTTTGATAAAATCAAATTTTCTGTCTAAAGACAGAAACAGGTGCAAACACTTTCAATCAATGACAACATTGAAGACCACATAATGCACAAGTTCAAGCACAAGCAAGGCGATCTTCAAATCCTGCAACAGCATTTGAAAGCAACATAATCAAACTTTATTTGAAAGAAAATGCATGAAGGAATATGATTTTTGAAAATGAAGTCAGAAAATGTTACAAATCTCTCCTTTCCCATTGTGGAAGGGGGGTACTATGGCTTTTTGACACCTCACCGATAGTAGCACAATAACATTATCTCCTTACCCTGGCTCCTTACCCTCCTGGCTGAAAATAAGTGCTCAGCAGGTCAAAATTTTCCAGAAAAAACCAACCATAACAACCCATCCACCACTCAAATACCACTTGAAAAACATCTGGTCCCACCAGAAATGTGAAAGGGAACATGATTCAGCTGATATGAATATGGAGTATAAAGCTGGATCCAGGTGGTTGTCAGGTGTTTTACATGATGGCTGAATTTGGTTCTATGTGACAATGGTTCTAGGCACATAAAATTAACACTAAAAAACAGATTAAAAAAGAATGCATACAAAATATAGCTTAATAAAGGTAATTCTTAGGTGTTTTGAATATAAGTGCAAGTGAAATCCAGCTGGAAGGGAAATAATGTCCCCAAACATTGAATGGGGCAAATGAGCTCATAATTAAATAATAACCCTCCCTCCCAGAAATCTATCAATGGGAAGTCGTGAAAACAGATGTCAAAACAGCCAAACAAATTTCTGAACTTTGGCAACAAGTAATCAAGGCAACACATTTCTGTTAACTGTAGACCAATAACTGTTAATTGGTGATCTAGTTCAGCAGAAAATGCCAGGGAGGTACTGGAAGCCATTTGAGCAGTTCCACAGAATTGCCTTGGTAGGAGTACCCTTCTAATGGCATTTCATGCATGCCCAGCAATAACATTGTACACACCCTGCAATCCTAGCACACAAACAATAAATCTGACTACATAAAGATTGTACATGTCTACATGTCATACATATTTCTGAATGCCAGTATGTATGCTGTACCTAGAGCAGAAAAAGAGATTTGGAGCAATAAGATTTGAACATTTTTCCATTCCAATATATTTTATCAGCTGGAAGGTCATGCTGCAAGTTAGAGTCAAGAGTGATCAAGAGGAAACTAACCGAGAGAGAATAGAGGTGAGGATGAAGTGGAGTGTAAGACCTGCGAATCAGTGATCTCCGTTCTGGAGTCTCTTCCAGCAATTTCTTCCTCCTTGTCACTTCCCTCTCAACCTGCACAATGAAGATCCCTTTCATATGAAAAGAAAATTGCAGTGGAGGAGAAAGAGAGGCCAAATCATGTACCTGTGCAAGGATGTCCTCAATGGCACGTCCAGGACAACGTGCATTCAGCTCAGTTCCATATTCTTCTAGGAAGGCTTCATGCCCTTCGTGCCTGACATGGATGTCCAAGTCAGGGATGTAAATGTTGTGTGTTATAAAACAGTGGCATATTCCATATTGTACTCCCATTTGTCCCCCAGCTCTCATATTCACATTCTTTCAAGTCATGAGTCATCTGAATTGACTATGTGAGAAAAAATTCTACACAACCAAGTTCATTTCTCAACTGGAAGAAGGAAGCAGGAATTGTCACTCTCTTCCATTGCTGGGAAGAGATTCAATATAAGGGGTGACCTGACTGCATCCATATATAAGAATGGATGGATTAGTTGCACTTAGCATGCAGTATAACCAATCCTCAGCCAGCATATAATGAGTGTCTGTTCCTTATATATCCATCTGCATGTCCACTATGAAAAATGTTCTGTATTCAATACATACATAATAATTACAAATGCAATATGAAACAAGAGTGTCATGATCCTCTTGAACACCACAATGCAAACAGAAATGAATATTTGTGATATGTTCCCCATCACAGGCAGAGACAATAAGTGCATTGAGTCTCTCATCTGCATCCTAACCTTCATCCTCTTCATCATCCAGATATTGAATCTTCTTCGGTTTACCCATTTGTGCAGAGGAGCATGAAGAGGAGCCTCTCCTCCTCTTTCCATTTCTATCCCTTTCATCTTCATCCAATTCCTCTGCTGAGACTTGTAAAGGGACGAGGGGTGGTCGAGGTTCCTCTCTCACTCTGCAAACACATGACCATTCACCACAATGGCAATGGAGAGGGTCTTCACAGGAGAGAGATGGAAACATTAAGGCAGGAGAGACATACGAGGAAGACTCAGAACAGACGACAGAGAGACGTTGCTGGGTGAAGGCTGCAAGGGAATCCATAGCAGAGGAGAAATCTCGATGGTGGGCAACTCGGCCTCGGATCCAGCGACTCAGCTTCTGGACATACGTTGGGAACCGCTGGAACCTCTCCTCCACGAGGACAAGAGCCCCCCAGTCGTGTCGGTGTCGGATGCAGCGACCCAGTGCCTGGTTGAGAGCTCTAAAGGCCTGAATCTCGTACCACTGGTTCCCCGTCAGGAGCTTCCGTTTCCCATCTCCCTGGTGTCGGTTGTTGTACTCCTTTTTCAGACCGACAACCATGTCCTTGACGTTCATGAATGGGATCCCAACCTGCAAATCAGGGTTATTCAACTGCTGGTTTGCATTTCAGGGAAAGAGAAGAAAAAAAGCAAAATGTGGAACGGACTGCTATGACGGCCCTGGCTGAGTCATCAGCAAAGTCGAGTCCTTCACTGACTTTCCCTCTGCAAACTGCCATCAACAGAGCACCTCGATGCCCCTCACAGATTGCATCTCGATAAGCCTTCCAGATCCCATGAAATTCCTCTCCTGACCGAGGCTCCATCATCATTTCCTTCAACTCTGTCAATTGATCCCACAGCCCAGTACTTTTCCACCTAATGGAAAGCAACAAATAGAGGTTAAAGCTATTCTAATACAGATGCCAGCATGATTTCCATTCACAAATGGACAGATGCAAGGTGAATTTATAGTTTGCAACAGGTGGCCATCCTCCATCTGCTTTGACAGAAATTTATTGACAAGAACTTCATTTGCATCTGCCATCCAATAATAATCTAAATCACTTGGTGAAAACAACTTCCAATTAGACAAGGATATAAAAGTAATAAATGCAATAACATTAATTTATGCCACTAAGATACAAGAACTGGCTATAAAAATAATAACCACATATGGAATATCTTGTTTCAAGTATTGAGGGGAATGAAACAGCCTAAGCACCCATAAAACCTCTAGCTTGAAACATATGTAGTCCCAGACACTTGATAAACATCAATGTCAAATGGTTACAGGATTGCAACAACAAAAGGTTTTAGGACAAAACCTTTCCATCCAGTCAGTGAAATCCGCCAATCAGCTCTCCTCTCCAATTGTAGCCTATCATTCTCACTGCAGCATCACTGTGGGATCATCATCCATGAAAATTTTCAGTTAAACTTATTTGCTCATAATTGGCCCAAGAACTATACCAAACATGTCATCACACAATTGTCCATAGTTCAAGACTCTTTGGAACAACAAACTGTAATATTCATTTTTCCACATTACTGATGAGCACTTTCTGTCTAACCACCAATTATTATCCACCAATATGCCAAATTATTATTCAACTCTTAATATTTTTCAAGAATTTTTTTTACATCCACCCATGTATTCAAAAGGATGAAATCTATCCTACTTGAATTTAAATGTGACGTGGAAGAAAAATCACTAATTCTTGACGAAACAGGACAAAATGTGGAAGAAGAAACTCATCAATAAATTTCCATTCATAAAATTTACAAAATGTATGCAAAAGTGGGATGGTATCCATTAACAATAAAAGTCATGATGGCATGCTTGTGAGGTCCATATGAGATGGTGGTATGGCCATGCCTCACTGTGATCGGTGTTGGTATGCCATACCAGTACAACAAACTGCCATTTCACACGAACCACTCAAAAAATGAAAAGGAAAGAAAACCAGAACAAACACATGAATGAGCTACCTGACAGCCAATTTCTCCATGAGATGGTAGGAAGGGAAGAAGGCAAGAACACCGTGGGGGATCGTTCGGCACACAGACAGAACAACTTGGCCCAGTTCATCCTGGAACTGGAAGGTCTCTGCGTGCTGGTAAGAGGCATTCAGGGTGACTCGACTCGGTCCCACGCTTACGGTTCCGACCCAAACCTATCGAGAATACCCCTTCACTGTCACTGGTGTCCGATGATACCAATATCGAATTTTTATGCAAAGCCCCCCGACATCACCTGGCTCGAATCGATGACATGAGAGGCCTCAAGATGGATTTGAAAGGGTGTGGCAAGTTCCGATTCGAATGAATTCATGGGGCTGAGGGTTCCAGAGGTGAGGATGATGCTTCGGAGTTCCTTCTTCAAGACCTGAAAGGCTACACCGGGGTGCATGCACCAAAAGTGAAGGGTTAGCTGGGACTCCATCGTGTATTCCCCTCCGGCTGCATACCAGCCTCCTGCAGATGCAGTCGGAGCCTGGGAAAAAAAAAATAATAATAATAATAACACAATTCTCCATGCAGAGAAAAAAAAGGGACAGAATGAACAACGCCGACGACAGAGACCTTGCGACGACCCGAGACGACCTCGAGGAGGGCGACCTTGTAGTCATCCTTGAAGACCATGCCATCCGTGAGGAGGAATTGCATAACTTGAAACCAAACCTCCAGGAGGGTCAGCGTGGAAGTTTTAAGTTTTGGTGTGTCCGGATTCTTGTCCTTCCTTTCTTGATTCTCCTCTGCGTTTCCAAACTCCCGCACCACCTCCCAGAAGGCCTCCTACCCAGGAATATTGGGAGAAAAGTCAGGTGAACGAAGAGGACCGACTGAAGGAGTGGGCATCAGAGAGAAGAGGGTTAAAACGGACGAGGAGATGTTGGTGGGACGACGGTCCACAGCCGATATTCTCCATTTGGGCCAAGAACTCCGTTCCTGACCAGACATTCCCCTGTTGTCCGTAAGTCCCGGTGTCCTTCAAGTCCTGCCTCTCTCTCCCCATCCACGTTCCAATCCCCGAGAGCATCCTCCCCTGTGGAACCCAACAAAATTCAGTGCCGATGCAGAATCACCGAACATGCAACTAGGCAATCAGAAACCGATAAATCAGATCAGAACCGAGTTTTACTTGAAAATGAAACTCCACTCTAATATTAAACTGAGTACTGGTATCAACTTCCAGGGGTCTGAAATAGTTTTGGTCGTAGTTCAAAGTGATATTTCACATAGCAAATAACTGAGACATGAACCCAAAACTTATTTCCGTTTTAAAAGCAAATAAGCACTAAATTCATTCTTGAAACCTCACTAACGAAGATTCATTCAATCCCTCATGTAGTCCTTTATCGCATTGAAAGTAACCAACCATTTCGGCATGGGATGCCTTGGAGGTGATAGTGGAGCAGTCAGCGAGGTTAAAGAGATCATCCTTAGCCTCGTTGAGGGTATTATATTGGATGGTGAAGGACACGGCCTCACGGGATGCATCCTCCATGTTATGCGCCTCGTCAAGAATCAAGATCTGGCCCTTGAGTTTGATATTCATCTGCAATGGGCAGAGTCCTGCCATGAGTCATCTAAAATGGAAACACGGTCTATTTGTCCATCCGTTCACGTACGGTATTCCGGATGATGGGGTCCAGGAGGTAATTGTAGGGGCAGAAGACGATCTGGGCGTTATCCATGAGGTCGCGGGACGCGAAATAGGGACACGCGTGAAGAGAGCGACCCATGCCCACCAGGTCCTCCATGTCCCAGCCTTCGGTCAATCCTTGGTTCAACAACTCCATGTGGGTGTTCATTCGAGATACACCCTGCTTGTACCGGCATCCAAAGTCCTTCAAAACCAAACGGATCGATCAAAGGATACCACGGAAGGCGACGGCTACGGGGATACAAGGCAAAATATGGACAAACCGTTTTGCCTTCGAGGACGTCCTTGCAGCCCTCGGTCTTGTTCTTCATCCTGGACACCTGGGGATGGATGCAGGAGTGTTCCCGACTCGCAAGCACTGTCATCCTTTACAACACAAGCAATCCTCTTGATCGACCGCGATCATTGGCGTATGTTTGATGATGGGCAAATTCTTGAGGCTCATGTGATTAAATTAATTATGAATCACTGAGCATCATTTACAATGCACAGTAATTTGTAATGTATTACGCGTCAGAGATGAGGCACTAATTAATTACTTTGTAGTTACGTAATTTATGTCTCACAACCTCACGAATCACTCTAAAATTACTCTAACGCCAACATCCGTGTGAATTTGACCGCACAATACTTTAACAGAGTTGCCAGGGGTGATTTGGAATTTTTCCAGCGCGCAAAATAGTGAATAATTCAAAAATCGTTGCAAACTAAAATGGAAATAAAGTCACTTCCCTACAATTAAAAATCAGTATAATATGCAGCTTAATCACAGATTTTAATTCCAGCCAATCAGAATATAGAATTCGTTAGAAAGGTGGACGGACCTGACATTCCGATACGCGGTTTTTCGGAGCTCCCGGACCAGCTGCGTGATCTGCTTGTGGGTCCTCGTGCCAAAGTAGATCTTCGGAACCCTATATCGCCATATAGTGGAACAAATAAAAATGGAGAAATGGAAAAAAAAAAGAGAAGAAATAAATGGCCGAGCGACACTCACTTCATTTCCCTAGGCTTCCCCTCGCGAACAGGAGGTCCCTGACCTAAGGAATTTTCCTCCATACCATTCTATAAAATATAAAGAGAGGTGATGAGAAAAATTACATAAAATATATTAAAGCCAAGGGTGTCACCTAAACGGGATGATGGGGTGAAGTCAGATACCTGGGCCTGGCTATACGTGGCTTGCGACTGCAAGTCCACCGCCCCATTAGAAGCGGCTGAAAGCGAGGACGACGGAGGAGCACGGAAATCATCCAGGTCATCATCATCTTCTCTCTCCTCTGTTCATTCCCAATAGAAAAGAAAAACTATTTCACAAGGTGTCATTATTATTCAAATTACAGTCACTGATCCGAGCCGTTCTTAATGCACTATCAGGAGAGTGAATGCCTAGATGTGCAAGTTTCCTAAACGGAATCCTGCGGATTGGTACCATGGCTGCCATCTTCTTGTTTCTTGCATATCAAGTTCACAATCCTGATCCTTGACAGGCGACAGGGTGGGGGGCGCTCTTCAGTAATCACGGTCTAGTGTCCAATTGTCCATGCCTGTTTGCCAAGGGCTCAATGAGATCGTTTAAAGTATGCGTTATCAACATCTCCGAAGAGGAAGAGACAGAGAGAGAGAGAGAGAGAAAAGAGATATGTTGTATGAATGTGTGTATGTATGTGTTCATAATGGCATGGAAAATCCGGTGATTTTGTTCTGGACCCCCCTGGACTCTCATACAGGGGAAATAAGACAATGGGTGGAGACAATGGGGGGCAGACAGACAGAATACTTTTTTCCCCTCCTGGTCTCCTTCCGTTTCCACGCAATTGGCTCCCGTCAATAGAGCCGCCTATTCTTCTATGACCCAATGGACAAAAGACACGGCGACGTCGAGACCGAAAGAGATCAAAAATCCTTTTCCCCCATCGGGATCACGTACGACTAACAAGCATCCCCAATCTCCAAGAGAGAGAGAGAGAGAGAGTCCTTCAGAGAACAGAAGGTCACCTCAACGGACCTGCAGGCATCCCCCCGGCTTCAAGGAAGAAAAAAAACTATTCTAAGGAATTTTACCCTTCGCGTAGGAATTCTCGCATTTCTTCATACTCCATACTTTTCCCATACATACCATCAGCTCATACAAACGCCGTCTGACCCTTGACGCAACTTATACAATACGTTCAACGAGCAACTTCAGGAGATGAAGAACATATCTTGCAACGTCATCTGTAACTTTACTTACATCGAAGAATACTGTATGAAAGTTGCATCAGGAAACTTTCTGGACGTACAACACTTAACCACAGAAAACCTTCCGCCTGGATAATTCAGGGTGAATTCAGTGTCATTCAATACGTTACATTCAGTACATTGAAGGACGCATAGGCTCTAACTGTAATTACCTAATTAGAAAAAGGAATTAAAAAAAAAGGGAATGTTTCCGAAATTTCTCGCGCTGCTTGTGAAATGAATGATGCTTCTCAGTCAAGGAGCGGGATTTTTTGGCGAACATGAGAACATGGAAAAGTTTACTTGGAAATGGAAAAATTAAAAATTTGCAACGGAATCCTCCATTGCCTGGGTGGAATAATCGCTGAGAAAATCGCCCAGGGCGTGATGTAGGATGGATTTTTGAACAGAGCATTATCCGATAATGCAGCTTTATTTCAGAGAAAATGCATTATAAATCCGGTAAATAAAGCAGCATTATCGGATAGTTCTCTGTTCAAAAATCCACCCGTATAATTTACTGGACTTTTGTCTTTTTTTTCTTTCAAGGAGCATCTTCATCATCCTCCAAGGAGCCGCGTAAATTATGAACGCGATTGCTATTCTGTTGCGATTAAGTCCTCCGGAATACTGCCATATAGGTCAAGGGTTAAAAGGGTCACTGCAGGGTCACCGCAAATCACTGTGCCAAGTTTGTATGCTTCCAGGGTTCAGTTTTCTTTTGGATGTCAGGTTAATTTTAATAATTTATTGCCTATTATACCTATTTATTATACCGGGTGGCGCAAAAAAAAACGCATCGTGTTTGACGCCTTATAAAAGCCGTTGTGGATGATCTAGGTTCGCGATATTTTCACATTACGTTGGAAACACCACAAAATTTGTTTTCTGAAAGTTTCATGAACCTAAGTTGCCTGAATAAATATCGACAGTCGCCCAAAATAGTGTCATGAAATGGACCTTTCCGCGTACGAGGAGGATGGAGTTTCAGAAACACTCGAATGATTTCCCTACCTTGACGTCATAAATACCGCTTTTTATGCCAATTCTCGTCGTAGTATTGAACACATCGTAGAATAGTACTACTGTCGTACATCGTAGCATCAGAATCGATACCACGCAGAATACTACGATGAGAACTGACGTAAGAAGCGGTATTCATAACCTCAAGGGAGAGAAATCATTTGAGCAGTCCTGAAACTCCACCCACCTCGTGCGCGGAAAGGTCCATTTTATGACTCCACTTTGAGCGACTGTCGATATTTATTCAGATAACTTTGGTACATGAAACTTTCATAAGACACATTTTGTGGTGTTTCCAACGTAATTAGATAATATCACGAACCTAGATCATCCACAACGACTTTTATAAGACGTCAAACACGACGCGTTTTTTTTGCGCCACCCGGTATTTCTTTATTATACTACTATCCTTATACTTCACATGATCATGGATGAAGAGGCACAATCAATTTCTTAGCAAGTCCTAGGGGAGAAAAAAAGGCTCAACATGAAGAAACTTAATTTGCTCAAAATTATAATTTTAGCGAAATATTCACAGCTTTTCGTATTGAGATGCCACAATGCGAAACCTAATTAGCATAAATGTTATTCAAGAGTACTACATTTTCACATGAACTCTACCAAGGCAAGTTGTCAAAAACTGGATAATATAGCAGTGATGTTATATATTATGAAGGCAAAATTACAGTCAAGTATCTCAAGTTCTAAACGGTGTAAAGACTGACTCAATCTGTTATTCCATAGGCAAAGTGGGCAACTTTATTTATTCTTAGCGATGGCTTATAATCTGGCTTAGCCAGACCGTGCGCAACCCTGTGATAACAGGAATAGCAGCCAGCTTTGGCTTATTATCAGAGACAAAAATGGAACGTGTCGGTAGGAATTTACTTCTTGATCTAGTTTCTTACAGATGCCAATGGAAATCCAAATAATGAGTCAGAGTGAGAATTGTTAATAGCCTGGAGAATGTTCCTGAATTACAACTGTATCGTACCTGTTGTGATGAGCACAACAATGAGAAAAGCCATACACGGATTGATAGGGAGCAAGAAACTTTACTAATTGAATTATTTATTTATATGTAATATAGTAAATGAGAGTAATAAACTACCATACTTGAATAATACATTTTTTTAGTAGACAAAATATTTCGAGAAATTCGCGAACAGAAAGTATTTTTTCTTAAATAAATAAAAAAACAAAGTAAATATGGCTTATTGGTTAAAATATCCCCACACCGGGGGTGGGGGTGGGGGGGGGGGGGAAACAAGGCGCGTCATTGTTTTGCAGAAAGCGCTCTGCTCTCCACTAAATGCGACTTTTTTTCTTATCTCTGTCGAGATTAAGTATTTTCCCGAAATACATCCACATACAGTTTTGTTTATACGAAAGGTACTTTCAACCTGGTTGGTATTTTGTGCATTTTTTGGGTTAAAGAATAAAGGCTTAATTAAGGGTGTGCTAATTACTTAAACCTAATAAATTTAATGCGATTATTTACGACGACAAGCAGTTTCCCTTGTTCTATCCGCATATATAGCTCTTTACAGTTTTGCTCATCTCGCTCGCAGCAGTCAAGCTAATAATAACAAGAATCAGGCGCTGACACTCTTGCCGAGATGAAAGCCGAAGTAGAGCAATGAACCAACGACACAGCCTACCGACCACGTCTGGACATACGGAATACGCTCCGCATCCTACGCCTCTTTTCCACTCATTCATCCATTCGTTCATTCATCGAGTCCCACATGAAAGCGTAACGGGTCAGTCGCAGTTTCAGGAGTTATTAATTGTGCTGGCACTCTTCAGAAACGGAAACGAAAAGGAGGCTTGGTAACCAGTCATAAAAGGTGCATGATCCGGTGCCGATCCGCTCCCAGCGTGGAGAGGGGAGAGAACCCGGGCACCTCCAACAATGCCACTCGCCACCACAACACACCGATATCCATCGGTCCGATTGAACGACGCAGCTCTCGTTATTCATGAGAGTGACTCGGCGAAATGAATCCTGAATGGCAAGACTTTTTGTTCTCTCTGCAATCTGATCCTCTCGAGAGTTCCACAGCTAGGGGATTGGATTCGGAGAAAGAGGCCTGACGCGGCGACGAAGACGGATCAACGTCTCGAGTCACTCACGAGAGACATCTCATCTGCGTCTGTGTGTATCAGTCTCTTCGCTCGGAAGAGATAGCACTCTAACATCGTGATGGTATATACAGAGTGGCCAAAAACAATGTACCAACTTTTCTATTCATTGTAAATTTCTATGTACCTGGGTGAGACTGGCCCAGGTCGTTGGATTGGACAACATGGACCGGTAGAGTTTTCACACCGTTCCCCGGACGCATATTTTGAAACCTTACTCGTGTTCGAACACTGGGACCGTGACAGCCAATCAAACGCTCGCCAAATGTCATTATAGGAAAATGGCGACTTCCATGTTAATACAGGTTTCAGCTCTACCTGAAAAGCAGGGAGTTCATGTTTTTGAGTAGCTCTTGGTTGGACTTGGGTTTTCCCGCCGTACATCACCAGTCCAGCTCAGTTCTACAGGGATGGAATCAGGAGTCTGCCTGATCGTTGGCAGAAGGTGATTGATTGACTGTGATGGCGATTACTTCGTTGAATGAACTTTTTTGCCTTTTTTTTAAAAAAAAACTTAGTTGTATGGAATGTTCTCGAAACGGCCAGAACTTTCCGATAGACCCAATACGTCCTTCTCCTGGAATATTACGGCTAAGGGTCTAAGTCCGACCTATAGATGTACGATTTTTTCCTCATACGCGTCGGAAAGAGGCCGTCTCCAATTATCCCTGGAAAATTTCGATCACACAATTATGGAAATGCTGCTTCATGTGCATGAGTTGTGAATGGCATTTCTGTGGATTTCATCGTAATGCAAATATGTTCCTGATGATATGGAGCTTTCCATATTGACACCTTGGGGAAGCTACCTGACACCTTTAGTTGCTGACTCGAAGCGTAGAGGACTCTGACTCATACCCTCGATTCCCTCAACTACGACATGATATAACGAGGAACAGAGTTTGAATCCCAAAAGCAGGAGTCTTTTCATGTGACTTTTTCTGCCGGATACAGTGAAAATGAAAAGTGCGACAGCTTCTTCTTCCCGTGTAAGAGAACGATGCAAGCTCTGCTTCACGTAGAGGATTTTCATAAAGGATGATTTTTCTAATCCCTGTTGAAGTTTCCATCAGAAAATTTTTCCTTTGCAATATTATTTTTAAACGGTAAACGTCATGTAAACCAAAGCAACTTTTTAAAAATCTCCTCTGGAATCAATTCACCTCCGGGTACGGACGGGGATGCTCATTGCAGATGAGTCAACTTCGTTGCATGTTCTCACTGTTCTCACATAAGCTCATGTCGCATGCTACCTCATATCGCACATGAGCGACATCTATTCCGTTTGCTATTATTCCTAATTGGGCTGTGGGTAAAGCCACATAAATATTGTTCAAAAGTGAACATTTACAATCGAATTTAATGCCATTCGATTCCTGTGCACAGGGAGTATTTTCAGTTTAAGAAGCCTTAAACTAAATCTCAACTATCTATTTTCAGCAGTTCCGTAGCTTTTCAATAGAACTTTATTTATTGCTTTTTCCCCCTAAAATTTCAATTGTGACCATTGGTTGACACCGGTTTTAGCCCTTTAGCCCGAGGCACTCTACCAGGGACGTGTAGGAATTAACAAGACTAAGCCCAGTTCAAATTTTCTTATGCAATCCCAAAGCTGTAAGTCCGTACCACTTGAGATAGAATGTTGTCCTTTGAATCGCTTTCAGACATATGTGTATCATTGTCCAAACTCATTTGCCAGCTATGTATCTACATCTGGAAGGTGGCACCAAGGGTTTTCGTAGAGATATGCTTGTCATGTTGGAAAAATTACTCATCCCAAGGAAGCACAGTTAAGAAGTTATTAGAATAGGGTGGGAGTGGAAGCAGGGCCGCCCAGAGGTTTCCAGGCCCTTGGGGGCCCCCTTGAGGCCCTTTGGAGCCCCCCCCCCTTGGGACCCCTTGATACGAGGAGCCCGGGGCAGATTGCTCCAATTGCCCCTCCCCCTCTGGGCAGCCCTGAGTGGAAGCACTTCAACGTTACTGTACCGCAATATGGAGCTCGGTGCGATGGTACAGGGTGGGCCATTTAAAAGTAGCCCGCCTCTTATAATACTGCAACAGTAAGAACGAGCAAGTGGATTGTTTTTCCACCATCTTTCCACACCATCTTTTCGACGCGACGTGTTTACAAGGACTGATTAGCAGGGCAAAATCAAGCTGGAAGTCTGCACATGGGTAGACAAGACGTCGCCAGACAGACAGATGGTCAGTAAGAACAGTGTGCAAGGGGCTACCACCTCCGCCACACTCGGACCAGAGGCGGGCTACTTTTAAGTGGCCCACCCTGTATTTTAAAACAGTGTGGGGAAGACACCCAATGCAAAGAATGCCTGGATGCATGCATAAGGTTATCCATTCATGCCCTGCACCATATGACTCACATAAGATACATTTTTAGCCACACAAGCCACAAGGGATCATTTCTTTTTAACTTCCATCAACAATTTCATGAGTTGTTTTCCTCTTCCCAATCCTCCTTTGGACAAATGAGAGATATTCTTTGAATTTCACTCCCATATTTGCTCTGGTTACAGAAAATTAAAAAAAAATTAGCAAGACAATCCATTTCATACATAGTTGTTTACTAAAACAACTATGTATGAAATGTTTACTTTACCAGCTAAATAGCTGGATTCACCCTTTCAAAAGGCTTTACAATCAACTTAAGTACTTGCCATCTAATTAAATTTCAGGATAGTTTGATTTGATTTAGGGTTAGGGTTAAGGGGAGAAGTTGATGGCACTTGGGTGTAATTGGAATCTTTAGGAGAAAATATGAAGAACCTGGATGTGATAAAGTGCTAACCTTGGGACATTGGCAAGGAAGCATCTTCATGCTCATTCATGCAGCACTTATTGGACATTAAAACAAAAAGGAATACATTAAAACAAGCAACTCCAAAATATAGTTTTGCCAGAACATGGGGATCAATGAATGCTAAAAGAACCAAACTGAGCTGGTGAGTGCCATTCAATGACATGAGAGAAACCCATTTCCCATGCATTCTGGTACATCCTCCTGACAAAGTCTACTATGTACTTTTTGTCACTGGTAGATTAGGTGATTTAAAATACTTTCCCTTCTGAAAATGTATTTCAGTCCTTCAAGCTATATAGGGTGAATGCATAAATCAGATGTCCCATAATGCTATGTTACCAAATGTACATTATTATTGAAAACGTAGTCGCTACAAACCAGTACCAAGACTCACATTCCTCACTTGCATTACCTTCAACCTCTTGATACTTCATTAAAAAAATATGACTATTGGTCACTAAGCTATTTGAAATCTAGGCCTAACTTCGCATCGCTTCATATGCCATCGTGTAACCAATATTTTCTTATGTTGCATAGGCCTAGTGTCATAGTGGTGGCAGGTAAGAGAAGGTTGGCCTGCGTTGAGCTGTCCAACTTAATTGAAAAAACCATAGACCCATATTCTTTTCGAACTCAGCTATATGTTCAGCGACCTGTTTATTCGTGAGTTGTGCCTGGTTCGCTTGAACTTGCAGCGGCAACGGGGGTAGCCATGTTCCCACCATGACACCATGGTGGAGTTTGATTGGCTGTTCCGGTCCCAGTGTTCGAACACGAGTAAGGTTTCAAAATATGCTCCCCGGACCTCACCCCTTAGACTTTTTCCCTTGGGGGTGTTGAAGACCGCGATCTACACTCAGAAACCCAATACCATCGAAGAACTGAGAACAAATCACTAACGCTTTGCAGCAAATCACAGTTGACGTGTGCTAACGTGTGCCAATCTGTCCCGCACAGGTGTCAAGAATGTTTGAAAGCTAGTGGATCTCAGTTTGAGCATTTGCGGTGAACTGAGCGTTCATGCTGCTTACATTATAATTGTGCTGTATTGGTCTTTGAATGGAAAAGAGGACACTTTTTTGGCCACTCTAGTACTCGGAAGAATATTTGTAAAGACTTCTTTCAGGAAGCTTCTTCCCTTCTACCCCGCTACATTTAATTAAATCTTTGATCGAATCTACCCTTGATCGTATATTGCACTATGTAAAATAGTTTTCTTTTTTGAAATCCTGCTTCCTCCTATTTGGAGGAAGCGGGACTTGGAAAAACGCGAGAAATGGCTTCCTAAAAATATTATTTTGACAAAATTATTTTTCACTTCCTGACAGAAATTAAGTCGCTGTCACCGCGAGGTAGGGTTTTCTCGCAGTGAAAGCATTAAATGAATTTTTTTCGTGCGTTTAATTACTTAACTGTAACCTTCATAAAGATAGCAATGCTTAGCTAACTTTTGAGATTTTGTTTCTCGCTTCCTAAAGAAAAAAAAGGCGCTGGAAAATATACCATCACTTACATTTTCACATTTACGGCTCAAGTGTAATTACATCTAGTGGAATATGCGGATTTTCGCCTTCTATTCATTGCTATTCAATCCCAGTGCCTGTCCTCTTCCCTTTCTTCAGGCAGCACATCAAGGGTTCTTGTGGATGTACAGAAAAATTGATTCTAATGGTCATTCCAGTAATAAAGCTGCTCTGAAAAAGCAGATGCGAGAGAGGCAGTGAGATGGATTAGAACATACGGGAGAGGAGGAAGAATCCCATAGGTGCGACGGATCCCGTGAGTTCTCCGACTCTCTTGGCCTTCCCTCCCGGTTCTTCTCTCTCTTCTTTCTCATCTCTCCCAAGGTCCACTGCAAAAGAGAGGGCGGAATTTTAACAAATTCTAATTGGAAAGTGTATGAAAAAATGGGAGGTGGTGGAACGAAAGGATAGGCCAACATGAGATTTTTCTCCGTCGCCGACAGATGTTGGCGCAATATGAACGATTGGCATCTAAATGTCTCTGAATATCTAAACCTCCGGTTGACAACAAAACTGGAGATCCACGCAAGCAGTTCGAGTAAATACACAATTTTCAAAATAAACAAATGCTAAAGTCTGAACGAGAGAAGTTCGGAAGATCTGTTGACACTGATATAAACCCTATCGTTTGCAAATCTGTGAAATCCTCAGAACAATTAAACTTACTCACACAAGGTGCGGCAAAGAAATATAAACTGCTGAAAATATCGCGCCAGACCAGCTTATAGCTTTTTTCAAGCGTTCCTAACTTTCTGGAAGTTTGAAATTCTCAGTGCACAACATCATATCAGATATCATCTTAGTTTCCGGAACAATGAATCAGACATGACAACTCGGTATTCTGTGGCGCAGCGCCAGCGAAGAGTGAAATGAATGCGGCAGGCTCCCACACAGAGCATCGAAGAAACTCTGCAGACAAGACTGACAGACAAGACGAGGCCACACTCGACGCACAACAAAAAATGGTTATTCATAATTATACGTACCATTTACAACTTTTACTTCTCTCAAGCAAATTATAGCATATGAGTTTGACTTCTCACAGAAACTATACAGCAGGAAGTTCCTGACGAAAATTTTCCTTCACTATTTTCCCTTTTCCCAATTTCCAAATGCCCGCCATTTGTATTCATGCAGATGTAGGATCTGCAAACTGTCACTGAGAACATTTGTAAGAGGCTGGGGTGCGATGCTTCGTGCGGTCTATGCGTTACATGTGCAGAAAAGTCCCGAGCCTTAAGGCCAGTTTACCGTACTGGGTACGCCGAGTGTAAGGCTCGTAAAAAATAATATATTTGCCATCTCTTCATCGATATTAGAACTGTTCACACAGATAAATTCTAGAGACTTCAAACTTCTTGTCTAAAGAAATTGAATTTATGAAAACATTCTTGCAATTTAAATACCGACTTGAGGGGTTAACTGACACGCAAGACTTACCAGACTGTACGAAGCCTCACACCCATGCCTTTTGCGAATGACACCGTTAGCAGATGGGTAACCAACATGGTTATAAGTGGCGGTCATGTGGAAATAGGGTGAAATCATACTAAAGGGTGTCATGTCACAGAAAATTTTCCATCGGAAACTTCCAGATTAGTGTTAAGTCAAAGGCAAGTAAGTAAACGTAAGTAAAAGGCAAAAGGCACTTTGGATTTTTTGACAAATCCAAAGTCTCACTTACCTTTTGAAACCCAAATGACAGAAATAAAAGTTGCAAATTACATACAAGCTTTCACCTTCAAGCATAAGTATCCCTGTATGTTAACAATCATGGAAAAGTGACGAGAAGAACCAGTTTGGATGTGTAGCGAGATCACAGTGGAAGGTGAAAGACCGTGCGTACTGATCTAATCAATACGCACGGTCGGAACACCATGTAGCCCTATCTGATTCGGTGCCATAGAAATTAACGCACAACTATGTCTGATTTTGTGCGCTAGAAACTTCCTACTTCCGTATAGCATGAAACATAAAAACCAATTAGAAGCTTCGCACGATAGAATAAAGGGGTGTACTTAATTTTGACCCGTCCTATGAAAGAAATATATTTCATTCGTCGCTTTTGGTATGCTTATAACGATGATTAATGGTGAATATCACCATATGTGAAAATGAAGTTAATTCTGGTTCGAGAGAAAGAGCAGTTGGACAGGTACTAAGCAGCGGCACAAGTACTCCGCTCTGTCTCTCATGTAATGAACCTGTCAGAACCAAGATTCTTTATTGAATTCTGAAGCTGGCACCGTCCCAATCTCCCCGTGTCCATCGACCCCAATCACCCTTCAGATGCAGTCCCGGTCCTGACGGGGTCAGATCGTCATCTGAGCTGGGTGGAACGTGTAAGAGACGACACGTGACATATCTTTTGGAGCCAGGGATTACAAAAAAGGCAAAGGCATGTAATGTGAACGCTCCACAAGACCAGGACACGTGGAACAACGATCGATCCGGTGCTTGAGCCAAATCCGACCGAGAACTTCCACGATGAATAAAGTTGGTCAACCTGTGCGCCAGGCACGGTATTATTTATGTATTAATTATTTTTATTCGTGAAAAGATATTGCGACTTTATTTCGGCGTTTTGCAAGGTATGTGATGAAAAAAAGACTTAGCTACCCGAATGGTCAATAAGAATTGGAATCATCAAAGCAAAGTTTCTGATCTCATCATAATACTCTTGGGAGGGGGAAAAAAAATCTCACTTAATTTCCTCTCGGGCCTCGTCATCTGGGCGAGACAGATGTGATGTGTGGAGGGGAAGGCATTTTCCATTCACTCAACGACAAAGAGGAGATGGGAACAAAAGGGGGAGGGAGGGAATTCAATCTATGAAAAGAGGGAGAGGAAGAGGAACGTTATTAAGAAAGGATAAAAAGAGAGCGAGAGGGATTGGCCGTGAGGAGCCTCATTAGTGAGAGAAGAGGACCAATGAAATGGTCCTCTCACAACTCCTTCCCTTATTCTTCCTTTTCCTTTCACTATTACTCAGTCCTTGGTGTCTGGATAAGAGAGAAACTTTCCGGGACCTGGAGTCCCCTGATTATGGGAGCATAATTCATGTGATCATAACATAAAACCCTCACATGCTGCGTGTTTCGGCTCGGATATGGAAGGTCTTCCAGGCACATAAAGTGTGATGGAAACCATGATAAGTGCATGTTGTCATGATATGTCGGATGAGTTGTCAAATGCCTTTGTTTCCATGGATTCGATTTCAAAGCCGGCCGTCCGTATATCTCTCGATGACAAAGTCCACGATCCTCTCCCCTCTAAATTCTCTGTAGGCCGACTTAAAATCCGATATGGAGTAGACCATGAGGCCTTCTCCACAAGGAGCAGTTTCCCTCGTGCAAAGGGGAAGGAAGAGGGAAGAGGCATATCTTTCTGGACGAACTATTGATCTTATCACGTGATAAATCAAGAGGTGGGTCGGCTCGAGCTGAGAGCTGACAGCTTCGAGCGCACGAAGGACAGATATGTTATCTTGGAAGGCTTCCAACGCTCACAAGGAAGTTCTTCGAAGACGCCGATGGTCGCTCCTTACTACCTTCTCTCTGCATCAGGTGACATGTCATCGCCGCGGCTGGCTGAAGCGAAACTTTCGAAGTGTGCGCAGTGGTTCCGGAATTAAGTTTATCTCCATTGATGCTCATGATATCACGAGTCTCCTCCTTCCCTTCCCGAATTTACGTTCAGAGGTCCACCACTCCTTTGGTAGTCTGGTTCCAGGCGGCGAGAGAAAGTTCACGGCAGACTGCATGTCGTGAGAAAATAACCAAATCGTACGCAGATCTGAAAAAGTTGCATCTGTAAAGGGCAGAGGCAACTAGGAGAAACGATGCTGAACTGTGTCTCTCATGGAGTGTAACCTTGTTGGGCCATCCTCAAGACCTTAAGTTAGAGGGATAGGAGGAGATAGTCTGTCGTCGATCTTAGTATAGTTCGTGTGTAAGATCTCGGAAATCAAAATAAGTCTCTCGATTCCTTGATGGATAAGTCCTGTCGATCGACGGCTCCTTCAAAATCCCCAAAATGAGCATACATGACATCTGCACTTCCAATTACTTATTTCCATCAAATTCTTCGTTGGGGTGGGGCGATCTTCCTTGAATTCATCTTGCTCTTCTGTTAAGGTCTTAACCCCAGCAGCTGCGTATGATTCTGTGCCTCATATCCCGTCAGCCGTTGACAGAAGGGCGATGGTAATTGAGCTCATCTCGACAGCTTAAAGCCATTAAATTAAGCTTTGATCTTCCTAGCTTGGCATGTGACATGAATGCTTTCAGGGAGACGGGTCTAATTAAATAAGAGAGACTCAGTGCAGTACTAGGGTGACCTACTCTCATTGCTTCTGCTAACGTGGATAGCGTTCAGCTAAAAGACATTCATAATTCATGGACTCCATCTTCGGAAGGAGAAACGTGGATTATAGAGTAGCATTCAGAAGGCATCTCCTCAACTGACATCTCCATTTTCAACTCCCATCTCATCCAACCTTTCTTCCATAAGTTTAAAATTTGTCTCGTTTCCCTTGTGTATTTCCTGTTTACCCAAATTTCACGGAATGAGAGGAAGGGAACTCAAATTTTGAAGATTAAAATTCATAATAACGAAAATTCACATCACTTACTATCTTTCATGAATGCGGCTACAGTTACACAGACAATTATCACTGGTGACAAAAATAAAGCTTCCAAAACAGGCCACAACTTTTAGCTCCCAGTTTTACGAGATACGACAAAAGTACAGGCTTTGCAGAGTAAAGCTTCTCTGCAGAACGAAAAGATTCAAGAAATCCGGCGATCGCGGAAAAGCAGTCCATGGACTTAAGAAATCAATGCCCCTTTTCTTCTTGAACTTTTAGTGCACGCCTTCAAGATGAATGGTATATTCACAATGCGGATAATTAGATGAGTAAGATCATATCACACGGAGATTCCTCGACTCCATATATGGTCCAATTGAACTCAAGAGGAATATTTTAGATAAAAGCCGGACGGAATTCAATCCCGTTTCTTGGGGGAAAAATTTATTGGGCGTTGTAGCAGAGAAAGGTGAAAGAAATCCTAAGTGGCATCACGGAAAGAAGAGAAATAGGGCGAGAGTTTACCTGCATTAGCGTCAGAGTGATCATACACAACAGGATCCATGCCCATCTCCACAAGCCTCTTCAATGCCAAGTTGTATTCTCTCGCCTTCTCTGCAATGCAAAATGCAAACATGTCAGGTGGCATTACCCTAGTGAGTTCATACATCTTTGAGGCATGCTTTCGAAAGGAAACGTGAGGCGATTGAACAACGTCTTCGCGGTGCGGATTCGTTGTAGGGAACTTGAGTATTTGGTCTCATCTGTAATGACCAAGACCAGGTACCTAATTAATTAATACGTTTGCACACGATTACTGTCTCCGTTTTGTAAGTTTACCATTATGACATTGCAATAAAGATTGAATGATGGCATTGATTGAGATGTTTAGACTCGTGCAGACTTTTTCCATTCTCATGTATTTCTGTTGTTTTGTCTATACAACCGTCACCGGCCGAAGACACAAAAGATCCTTTTAAACCTTTACTCTCAATTCTCTAGACAATACCTGGTTCTCTGGGTTCGTTTGAGGATGATTTCCACGAAGAAATTTGCATTTTTTTAGGCCTCCGCAATCCCGAAAAAGTCCTATTTTTAACAACTTTCTACTTCGTTCGGGAGCCTCGTAAGGT